ACCCAAACCAAAGGGAAAAAAGGAAAAGGGAGGGAATTTTTTTGGGTTTTTTTGGGGTGTTTCTCCGTATTTTGCCCCCTTTAGGTTGGTTTCCTTCTTAACACGTTTTACTTTAACACAAGGAAAAAATCACAGTTGGTCGCTATGTGGGTTCGAGCCCTAGGGACTTAGCAGCGTTTAGCGTGAAATCAACTTGCAAAACCGAACAAGAATAGCTTTCCTAGCTTGAACTCGGGGTTAGCAGTGCTGGGGTAAAGACAACTAATTTCCCTTTCGTTCAAAGTTACACTATTTAGTAACAAGTCAAATTGTGTTTCACTGGATATGATTAAATGCTTTAGCAGATTTATATAATCTGTTTTAAATAGAAAGGTGCAATTGTGCCAGCCCTTTTCGATGTGGGTAAATTCAAATTGATCAGTATCTCCCTCTCTTCCTTCTGTTTCTCTTCCTGGCTTGCAGTTAAATTTTAACCTTTCCACTGTCACAAAATTAGCGTCTGCACTTTAGGTGTTTATCTTATCTTTTATAAACTATGTCTACATTGTTTTGGGGAAATTATTTAGTGTGTGTTTTTTAATGTAACTTAATCTAATTTATCTTTACATTGTGCGATTTTCAGCGTCCAAAAATACAAAAGGGACAGCTGAATTTTTCAATAAAGTTTTTCATTCGCAGGGTCTTAGTTATTTATTTTTATTCGTAATTTTCGAAGCAGAATATTGACAAATTTCTTCATTTCTAGGAGAGAAAAAATTTTACAATAACTTAATCAATTAGTTTCAACCCTGATCACAATGTAGAAGTGCTCAAGTATCTTGTCTCAAAGTGCTGTGGCTTTTGGAATTCCGCCTAGAGTATCGATGTTTTGTGTACTGTGTATCATTGTTATGTCTGCGTAATAAGGTTAACAACCCCAGATTGAAACATGGATAGCTCAAAACTATCCGTACCTTCCACAATATAATAGGCAGGGTCAGCCGCAGATGCCTATTACCGAATAAAATTAAGACAATTCCGCGTACTCTAAATAATTGATAGTGAACTAATGTCTAGACGAAAACTTTGAAAGGTATGACCTGTAACCTGCCGACAGACAAAATGCCCGGTCGTCGTTTAAGGTCAAGTTTGCTACGTCGAACGTTGGTCCAAGAAATAAACATTCGCGAAGGTAAACTTTTCTCTTCGTTAAAGGTTCGCGGATCCCATGTGCACTACCTCCAGCTTCCGTGACATTTCTCCGCGGCGGACAGTGGTCGGAGATTAGCACTAGTCGTTCCCCGGCAATTTGTTCGACATCTCGATAAGACGAAAGTGGAAAAGAAGTGAGGTCAATTCGCGTTGGCACGCTCCAGCGGGGTCGGCAGCCAGACGAGAGCCGAAATTAATTAAATCGCATTTCAAGGTTTGATACATGCGTTGTATTTTTTTTAAGTAAAAAAGAGACTTCAAACACTTTAAAAGTGTTCGAGGGTTTCAGAATGTGTTAACTTTTTTCGTATTGGACGGAAACTTTTATAGTTATTTCTCCTTCTTCCTTCTTCTTCTTCTTCTTCTTCTTCTTTAGTTTTGTAATACCCTTCTTTTCGGTCTACAGCCCCAATTTGTTTGCTTGTTTGAACATTTCGAACGGATGTCGTGGAATTCAGAATTCATTCTATAACAAAACGAATGGAAAAGGTTTTTAGATGTGAGCAGAGATGCAGTATCAGCTCACAATATTTTTTAGTTCGGGCACGGCGTTAAGAAAATTATTGCCTGTGACTTCAAAAATGGAAAATTATCTTTCATCCAACGCAAGTTTTAAAATCACTGTCATCATCATTGGATTGATCAAGAAATGAATTTCGAATTCCCAAATAATTTCTTTTATTAATTTAAAGTGTTTATATAAAGTGATACCTCCTCCGAGGGAGAAAGTAAAAATATATAGACACGTAGTGAGGGGGGCGGTGACTATGTGAAACAGGAAATCACATTCATTGTAATATAAGGTTTTCCGAGAACGTCACCGCTAAAGTTCAGTACTATCGTGATGTATGCATTTTGGGGAGAATGGCGGTGGTTCTTCCAGTGAGATGGGGAAGACACGGGGAACGACCTACACGCAGGTTTTTTCCCTAACTCAGTATATCCCTAACCGGTCCCGCCCCATTCATAAGTAGCCTTCGAACCTTTCGTGGTGGTCTCCTAACATTTGTGCAATGTAAGTATATGTGTAAGGGGCAAGATAAGGAAGGACGATGAAGGAAAGATCTGCCGGTCCTTGTCCTTGTATTTAGGATAGTTTTCTTGGTTTTGTCGGGCCCTGGTGTTGATCGGAAGAGAATCAACGAAACACACCTTATTTGAGAGACTCCGCCGACCACGAAGGATTTTTCTCCAGAACCAGCGGCTAATCATACCAGCTGACAAAGCTTAGAATACGAAAATGTGTCAACCGGTCGGGGCAAAACCTTGGACCGCCCCTGTCAAGTGGCACTACACGTGACATGTTTGGATTCCTGAGCACCCTAGCGCTGGAGAGTCACATCGAACATTCTTTGTGGCATATTTGACGTATGTAGTAACATTCCTTCAAGTGAATGTGTTTGAAATAATCCATTCTTTTTACTAACGCAATACTTATCTGGGAATGCATGATATTCAAATTTCATAATTGGTATTTAATACAGTACTAATGATCATATACTGTTATTTATTTGTACTAATAGTATGTAGGTCCTGACGTAAAGTATTGATAAATTGAAATATATTAAGCCATATTTGTTCCTTTATTTCTACTTTGTCATTATCGATACGATATTTCGTTCCAGCTTCTTTCTTCTGTACCATCCTGGACGCACCAAAACGGAGATCTGTGTTCCCTATCGCAATGAACCAAGGCAACACTAGCCTCCATACTTCCCCAAATTCCGCCACAGCCGTCCGGCTGGGTCGTCTCCGCCGGGCGCCGCGCCGCCGCGGGGGAACGTCGGCGATCGGGTTAACTTGCGTGGGGCGGCGCGCGCTTTCGCCGGGTCAAACACGTCTCCTTCGTCCACGCGCTCCCGGCAGCCGCCCGCGCAGCGGCCTCGTCCGGAGTGGCAACACTTTAGGGCGGGCTATATTGGTACCATCAAATCGCAATCCCACGGCGACGGGCGCGTGCACGCCACAAACGGACGCGCTGCGTTGCGGTCGCGTCCTGGTGGCAGTGCGTGTGCGGAGCCGGCCGGGCGAGGCCGTGAGAGGGGTGCCTGAGTGCGTAGAGGCAAGGGAGATGAGGAGGGAGGGGGGCTTTTGGTGTGGAGGTGGCGGCTGGTCTGGGACAGTCGAAGGGGGGCCGGGCAGGATCAGAGCAATGGCATGGGGCGAAGAGGCGAAGAGGAGTCTGGCCTGCGGGGGTGGGAGGGGCGTGCAATGGGTAGGGTGAGGGCGAGATGGGAATTGGGTGAACGGGCGCAGAGTTAGGCGCAGGGTCGCGGCGGAAGCGGAAGGTAGGCGGGGCGATGGCTAGGCGGGAGGAACTTAGGCGGAGCGGAGCTAGGCGGGCGGGGGAAGCAGGCGGAAGGGTGTTAGGCGGGAGTGTGCTAGGCGTGGTGGAGCTAGGCGGGGCAGGAGCTAAGTTGGGCGAGAGTAAGACGTTGCGAGAGCTAGGTGGGGCGGGAGCTAGGCGAGCGGAGCTAGGTGAGACGGGACTAGCGAGGCGGATCTAGCGGGGCGGAGATAGGCGACTGGAGAAGATAGCCTGGCTGGGAGCTAGCGGCGTTGGAAAACGAGGCGTTGCAAGAGACTGGGCGGGGCGGAGGTAGGCGGGGAAAGACCAGAGGGTGAAAGCTAGCGGGGTGGAGCAGGCCGGTGATGCGGGGGCTAGCGGCAGGAGCTTAGCGGGGCGGGGGGACGGAAGGCGGAAAGGTAGGGGAGGCGAAGGGGTGGGATGTGCGGAACGGAGTGGGGACGGACGCGGGGGAGGGGTCCGGGCGTGCGTAGTGGTAAATGTGCAATGGCGATGGCGGGCGGAGGGTGGCGCGGGGTCCTGTTGAGGCGGTGAGGGCGTGACGCGGTGGCGGAAGGGGCAAGGACGGCGGTGAGTTGGCAGGGGCCTGCGGGAATTGCGGGCGTAGAGGTGGGTGGCGCGTGCTGGCGACGGACGCGGAGCCGGAAGGGGTGGCGGCGACCGCGCCGCGGGTCGGGAGGGCGTCTCGCAGGAGACCCCATCCCAGGAAGCGCGTAGAATATGGAAACAGCATACGCAATGGACTGCGCTCGAATTTATGGCTACTGACGGGATAGATCCTTGGGAGGTTTAGGCGGAGGAGGTTCCTTGTGGGGCCTGTTATGGCGCAAAGGATAACCGTTTGGAGACATCAATTACTTTAATCTTCGAGATATTACCTTCATAAGTTTTACCAAAAGCGGCCAGAGATGAATAAATAAGGTGTTGCGAACGAAATCCAGATAGAATTACGTTGTACAAAATCTTCTTTGTTTTTTTAAATGCGTGTTCAAGCTTCGTTGCTTCTTTCATCATGTTCAAATTCGTCTGTTTTTAATAAGATACGATATGTCTCTTTAGATAAGGACCTTGAAGGAATTATTTTTCTAAACGCTCTTGTGGAAGATACTTCCTAAAACACTATTAATGCTCATGACCCGTAAGCTTGATCTTCACTTTATTGCCATTGTTTTCTTCTGGCTGTAGTTCAAATGCAAAAGTGTGTAGATGACAAATGCAAAAATGCAAACGTGTGTACTAATTAACACATTTGGCGAAGAATGAAAACGCATCTCATTAAGTATCAACACGTAATTTGAATTTCCTGACTACAAACCAACCGATTTATGGGCGTTTATTTTTATAATGTCCCGTAAGCCGAGTATACATCATCTTACCCTTGAGCAGCTACATTGTCGATTAATTATTCTTCTTTGATTCAGCTAAAAATTAATTTATGGAGAGAATTTCTTATACGATCATTGTAGTGTCACATATTTATTTGTGGGTTGGTAAAATAAAATTGTTGTTGAAATGTTGTGCTTGCGGCTATAACTCTGTGCATAACATCCGTGAGCAGTGATTGAGAAGAGTACGAAACGGGAAAAATGTTTTAGTAACAAATCTATCAATTATCAGTTTCAATCACCTGATTTGTTCTCCATGCTTATAAACCATTTTACAGAAAATGTTGGAATACTAACGTTGTTTCCAATTTGGCAAATATTTTACTAACTTCAAAGGGTATTCGAACCTGGATGCTTTGGAATAGATCTTCTTCACAAAGCTGTTGACAATGTCCAAGAAAGTATAGTAATTTGAAACTAAATAAAATAATAGTTTTCAACTCGATTAACCTTTGTTATTAAAGAATCAACAATTTAATTATTGAATACCATTTCCATAACCTGCGCGGAGTTTGATTATTATTGCATTTAAATATAAACCCAGTATAGCAGAAAAGCTACTAGAGCGCGAAGAGAGGTCAGCAGAACTTTACCCACATGACCGACGCATCTGGGTAAAATTTTTAGCATGGACGTTACACGTCTGTATTTTTGCGAACTGATTTTTAGGTACTCGTTTTGTTCCCATGTATGGAAGGCCACGTTCTTCCTCAGTTAATACATTTTCAGGTACTGCCATACATCTCTGCATATGGGGTTACCTAAACAGGGGGCCAAATGTCACATGTATAACATCCAACAACTTCGTTATCATTCCACCAATTCTCTCCTTGCCCGAGACG